GGAATCTTGGTGCAGCTGCCTGCCTCACCACGGCTGCCGGCAAGGAGGCAAATGGGCCGATGGCCTTTAGCTGTTGATCCACATGAGGAGGATGGCTCGGCTTGGCTTGCACTTGTTAGGCCCTCCAGCAGAAATTATGAGTCTTTCATTCTACTTCTTAATGTTTCTTTCTTCCTTCTTTTTTCCTTAAAAAATTTTTTTTTATTAAAGCATTGGCCGCTTGTTAAAATGCAGACTCAGGAAAGGAGCAATTGTTACTATTCACTCCTTCCTATGAATGAGTTTAGCAAATCATAGGAGAGCTCATGACAAGGGTCCTGCAGAGCATGGGAAGGAAGCAGGGTGGGGCTGCAGGACAGCTAGGACACAGTGCACCACAGGTGGGCAGTGTGATGGACAGGAACCAGAGGAGGAGACCACCTACCCTTTGCCCAGGATGAGTCAGGGTGCGACTACTGCCCTTCTCTCTTTGGGCCTCGCATTTTGAGAGGCAAGAGACAATGCTGACACAGTCAAAAGCCAGAGGAGAGCAGAGTTGCTGGGAAATCCACAAAGTGGACACCCTGACCTCACTTAAGAATCTAGCCTAGACCAGGAGAGGATACCTTACGACCAAAGCCAGATCTGGGCCCAGTTTGAAAGAACCTGCCTCCCTCTGAGCTGCTCTCCTGACCCCAGACATGGGTGAAAAGCCACCAGGAACCATGACATAGGGGCAGGATTTAAAGCAGCCCCTCCACCAAAAAAGGACAGATGAATAAAGAATGGATGAAAGACTGGGAGTCCCTCTGTCCCAGAATACCCCTAATAGCCCCTCTGTCCCAGAACAGTGATATTCTGACCCATCCCTCCCCTCTCAAACTTGAACCTCGATTTATTTAGGCCACGTTGACCCATCTTCCCGCTTTAGCCTTAGCAAAGTGCTTTGCATAGAGTAGATCTCAACGGAGTTCGTACTACATAAATCTAAACAAATGAAACATTTGAAAACAATTTTGTATTCACACTCAGTTTGACCCCAAAAGGCAAATTGCAATCATTGCCTTAATGCTCTGTAGTTGGGCCTCATTTCTAAGCACCCCAAGGTTAGCAGGAGCCGGCTTATTTTCAGAGCAGAATTGATTTGTAGGACTCTGCCTTGTATCCCTGGTTGCAGGCTGGGCAATTTAGAGTGAAATGAAATCAAATTGTGCACAGCCTATTATTTAGAAGTGAGAAACCCCAGGCACTAGGGTGGAAGGGCACCTCAGCAGGTTTTCTTTTTAGTGCCTGCCATGGGCTTGGCTTCCACGAAAGACCCTGTGCACCTGCCAGCTGATGCCTGAAATTCCCCTGCAACCATTTTTTAAACCCTTGGTTTTTCTAGCTATTAAGCTGCAAATCACCTAGGGAAAATAATCACGGATTCTGGCAGGTGGCAAATAAGTAGATTTTGAAAGCAGGCAAAGGGGAGAGGCAGAGTGAGATCAGGAGGCTGCAGGCACCCTCAGTGTGGAAATCTGCATTTCCTGTCTAAATTTCATGGGCATCCTCACAACCTTGTGAGGGAAAGCCTTCTACTGCCCCCATTTCACAGAAAAGGAAACTAAGACCCAAGGAGGTTAAGGCACATATCCAAGGTCCCAGAAATACTGGGAGCAAAGCTAAAACCTAAACACAAATATTAGACTTCATTTCCCCAGCCTCTTACACTTATCATTGCTGCCACTCAGAAAGGCTCTCATCTTCTGAGATGCTCTCCATCTCTTGGCCTGAAGGGTGATTTTGGACTGTCACATACTTCTCTGAGCCTCAGTTTTGTTTTCTTTAAAGTGGTGTTACAGGCTGACCTCTGTCCCTCACACACTTTATATGTTGACATCCTAACCCCCAGTACTTCAGAATGTAACAATATTTGGAGACAGGGTCTTTAAAGTGGTGATTAAGTTAACACGAAGCTACTAGGGTGGATCCTAATCCAATGTGCTGTCGCTCAGAAGAGGGAATTTGAACACACAGGAGGACGCCAGGAGTGTGCATACACAGAGGGATGACAACATGAAGGAACAGCAAGAACACAGCCGCCTGCAAGCCAAGGAAGTGGCTTCAGAGAATCAACCTTGTCGGCACCTTGACCTAGGGCTTTCATCCTCTAGAATGTGAGAAAATATCTGTTGTTTAAGCCAACCAGTCTGTGGTACTCTGTTATGGCAGCCCAAGCTGATGAACACACAAGTGGTGAGGTTGGGTGACAAAGTCTCCAAGCCACTGCCTCTCAAACTTTCTTCTACAGGTGCCTACAGCTCACCTGGGGGTCTTACTGCAATTGGGTGGGACTGGGGTGAGTGTCTGCATTTCCATTTTTTTTTTTCCAGAAATGTGTACAAAAAGTTAGTTCCTATTTTCATGGTTTTTAGCTAGAGTCTGCATGCTGATGCTTCAGGTGCCTCTGGCTTTACGAGCCAGGCTCCCGCCTCAGCAACATGTTGTCATCTTCCTGCCTAGAATCCAGTTCATCACAGAAGTGGAGGTTCCCTTTAGGTAAGAGGGAGAAGATGAATCCAAAGGCATGCACAGGAAAAGCCAGGGCAGGGGATAGAGCCCAGTGAAGAGCTTAGTGAAGTGTGAGCAGAAGGCATGGTTAGGGAATGGGGAGGGAAGTAGGCAGGGCATGAACTGAGGCATCAGTTTTAACCTGTCATTTAGTGAGTGCCTGCAGTGTATCCTGCCCTGGGTTGGACACCAAGCCAGTGCCTCATGCAGGAGAGGATACTTAAATTCTCAATTATTAACATCGCTTGCACACAATCCACAGGCAATTACTAGAACTGTAAATATATTGAATTAAGAGCCAACCATTGTCGGTATTAAGCAATTACAGGTAAATGCTAATTTAGAACATTGGTGTGATGTTTTTTAAAAAATAACTGTTTGAAACATTATAGATATCTAACCAATGTACTGTATACTTGAAACTAATTTAAATAAATAAATTTATTAAAAAACAAAACAAACAAACAAAAACAACCGTCTGATATTCAGTCAAGTATAAGGATGCTTTTTGTACAGGCAACACAATATTTATAGAAGATGACGGTAAATTTCTTCTGGCCAAAAAAAAAGGATGGATAAAAAGTAATGAAACAAACTGTCACTATCTAGGATGGAGGATCCAAAAGATATTTGGAATTTAATGAATAATAAAGTGAAAAAGACACATAAA